CGGATGACAGGTCAAAATCATCCAAGCAGTTGGTTCTAAATCTCTAGCCTCCCTCTAGACAAGCACAAGGCTTGCCACCAGACACGATCGAAATCATAAGCATAAAGGCATATGTTCAATCTCAAAAGCAAACTAACCCGGTGCTTTTCAACCCAGTCTTAGTTGACCTGTCAATTGAGAAGGTGATTCTCCTCTTCCCACGAGGCGACACTGACCTATGTGTTCGTCTTTCGGCAATGGTTTTGGCACAACCACAACCTCATTTATTTATACGGCAATAATCTAATTTGTATCAAACTTCCAAAATAAAACTTATAGAAATATATCTGAAAGGAGATCACTACATCATTAAGGTTTATAATAAGATATGGACATACCACAAATAGATTGAAGAGACTGGAGGTTAGTATGCATTGATGATATAACATTGTTTGAGAGGATTTAAATAAGGTATAATTGACTTTATCTCAGATTGGATTGAATTACGTTTCCCTTTATACTCAATATAATGCCTTGTGATTGTATCATTCATCCAAGACCACGCCATACCAACCAAAATCCCGATTCACAACCATCACATTCATGGAGCCCTCCCTTTCATTCCCAGTGCCCTCTCCCAATCCTCCAAATTCAAAACTTCGTTTCCTGAACCCAAATACAATTCTCCGCCTGCAGATCTTTCACCACAACCGTCCCCTCTATTTTCTTCCCCCACCTTCCATTCCCTTTCCCCTTCCCCTTCTCCTCTCCCTCCCGCTCATTCTCAAACTTCAACTCCACCCCCTCATCACTGCATTCCACCCCCGCCCACTTCCTCACATGATCACACTCCTGTCTACTCACGCCCGCCTCATCCCTCGGAATCCACAATTTTGGATCTCGACCCCTCGCTACACAGGGTGGAAAATAGGCATTCTCGTGCTGTTTCGCCGTGTATTCGAATCCCGAGGGCATAAGTGGTAGAGGAGTAGTGAGGGAGCGCAGTATGTGGTAGTCGGAGAATATCTCTGGGTGTAAGAATTTAATGAGGAAGTTGGGAGGGGAGGAAGGGTCGTAGATGGGGGAGATGAGGGGTGTGAGGTAAATTAGGTAGGGGTTGAGATGGTGCAGGTGCGGTTGGATTTTGGATTTCAGAGCCTGGAAGAGGAAGGTGAGGGTTAGTTTTGAGAGATGCGGAAGCCCTTCGATACGTTTGGCTGCGGAGCGGGATTGGGGGTTGGGATCGTGAAGGTCGTTTTCGTCATCGTCTTCATCTTCTTTCTCGGAGTCGGAGTCTTCGTGGGGAGGTGTATAAGAGGAGTTTTTGTGGGTTTCGGTGTTGGGTTTGTTTTCTTCGGAGATGGTGGGGTAGGGGTTGGGTGCTGTGGATATGCGGTGACTTATGTATGTTGATACTGCTGGTTGAGATTGCGTCTGTTCAGGTGTCTGCATAGGGAAAAATGAATCCTCATTTTCATTTTCGCTATGGACGTTGCCTCGATTTATAGTCGGCATGGGTGTTTGCAAATCGGAATTAAATGCAAGTCCACGATACAATTCTTCGACAGCGAGAGTTCGAGGAAGATTCCAGAGGAGTGGACCGAGTGCTTCGTTGAGACTTACATGGATCAATGCTGTGAAGATTGTTAATCCAAACATGATCACCAACGGGCCAAATGCGCTTCGTAACCCGAAAAGACCGATCAGACAGATTTCCGCAAGATATACACCTGTAAGAAGTTGTTTAAGAGCATGCGGATATAAGAGTCCTCGTGTGGATATCTCAGAGGAATAGGTGTAGAGGAGATTGTATTTTGATACAAGGTATATGAGATATAAACCCATGAGTGCGAATACGATTGTCAGTGGACTAATTAGCGAATAAGTAATGGCTATTACGCCCATATTTGTAAATACAGGGTAAACGGCTCCCCAATGAACGATTCGGATTCGATGCCATTTGTTGATCATTAATCTTGGGTTTTGCTCATTCTGAAACATGAGGTGCCGAATCAAAGCAGGTAGTTGCAATAATCTCGTGGCGGACATGGCGAGACCCTGGAGGATGAAATACGAGAGGTAAAAGTTTGATGATTTGGGGAGATTTTGCGAAAGTAGTGAGCGCACAGAAGTCGGATCTTGTATGATTTTTTCGAATGCTGCAGATGCGGCAGAAGTGATAGTTGTTACAAGGAACACTTGTACAACTTGGAAGATAAAGTAAGTAGATTGTGTATAGAGCTCAATCATCGAATAGGATGGAATTCCAGCTTGACGCGCACAGTGCCGTAAAATAACTGGAACTAATGCCATGAGAAATGTCAAAGCTAGAGCTGGTAATAAGCCCGTGAGTAACCCAAGAATTGAAGATGGAAGTTTGTTGATCCAACCTAAAAATGGGATTTTTGTGGTTAGAAAATTAATGTTGGATACTATTCCTATTAATGCACAAGGAATAGACCAGAATATGACCATACAGGCCACGAAACCTTGGATCGCAAAATTGCGCATGATACGTTCCCACCATCTCATACGAAGCGATTCCCATACGATTTCGTGTGGTCGAATTCCATTGATGTGCGGTGTCATGTGAAATGCTCGATGATGAGATAATGTTTGGTAGGCGGATTGAGCGTTGACTTGGGTATCGAATTCAATGAACGCGGCGGGTAATGGCTTCATTTTTCCCTGTCGATGCATTCTTCTCAGTTTGTTGATTTGTGGGGTGATTTCCTTCAGACGAGCTCGTGTCCATTTGATTGTATCTACGCTCCTTCCATAATTTGACAAGGGTCGATGTGTCGGTCTCCAGCTGTGGGGGATCCATTGTGCTGCAATTGATCCACTTACTCCAGGAGGAGGCCCGGTCATTCCGTATCCATTATCTCCCCATTTCAACGTTGGGGTTGCGGGGTTTTCTTCGGTGGTTGCTTGAGAATTTGTTTGGGAAATTGCTTTCTCAGTGATCCTGGCTTCTTTTCCCGTGCCACCGATCGGACTGGAAGTTGACCCTACCAATGTATCTGTAGGTGACATGGGGTCTTCCGAAATCTCGATGTCCCTAGGATTTACATCAGCTGGACTTCTGCTTAAGCTTGGCCTACGATTTTCAGGTGCTGAAAATCCACGCTTTGTTTCCTGGACAGAATTGATACCAATGCTCGATTCAAGATCTGGATGACCATGTTTGAGTGCTCGGTTTCTTTCTTTATTCGCAAGCTTTATCAATGTGGTCTCGGCTCTCTCCAGTCGATAAGCGGTTTGATTTCTTTCATCCACCAAGTCTTGTAGCTCTCGGGTTTCTCTTGGGATCCAAACGTGCTTGACAGAATCGCCAAACACCTTCCGTAATTTAGCCTCTTCCAAATTCTGTTGTGGAACGCACGTGAATAGAACAGTCCTCGATGACAGGCGCTTAGCATAAAACGGATGGAGAAGATAAGCTTGACGGAGATTAATGTAGTAAACGCACTCTCGTGAGACAGTATACATGATAAATCCTAACCATTCATTAGTAAAGTTCATGCATCTAGAAGATTGTACCAACCGAAGAAGAGCCACGCCAGAAACGCGTGTACGTAGTAAATTCTTGGGTTGTCCACATTTCCAAATGTCAATTGATCAAGTTGTTCATTACCAGCACCTCCAAGTACATGCAAAGGTATCAAGACGGGAAATACGAGGCCACATCCTACAAGACATATTACACACATAATCTTGAGGAATCGGAGGAACAAGTACCCATCTAGCGATGATTGATTGAGAACCGCTTCATCTGGAGTATTGAAGAAGGGTTTGATCCAATTGAAATATCCAGATGGTAATTCCTTACTGCGTTCACTATTCTAAGGTCAGTTCAATCTTTTGTCATAAGCGCATCTAACTTACTGAGGGTCCAAACTACTCAAGAAAGTCCGAGGTGAATACACTCTGGGATATTTACTCCTTAACACAAGAAATGAGATGATACAGACTGCAGCAAAGACGCCCACGGGTATCAAGGTGGAAAACAATGCAGAGAATGACGAGGAATTAGACCCCGATGCTGCAGCTGCCAAGGTCGAACTTGTGGAATTATCTCTTGAAGAACCAACTCTCGGATCAGAACTCTGATTCTAGAAAACAAAAGAACAATCAAATATCAGTAAACACAGCTCCCGGAGCGAGAATTTGGAGACTTGATGAGACCTTACCAATTCCCTTTTGAATTCCAACCTCAACCCTCCAGCAATCACACTCAAAATTGCCATCTCTCTCCAATTTCTCTCAAGCACTTCTCAATCGCAACACACTCCATTCATCTATTCATCTAATCATACACGTCGTCTGCATCGATCCAATCCAACCGTCCATGCCAAGGAATAGACCACGGATAATAATTAAACAATAAACAATATGAAGCAAAACGGTCGGGACTCTTCGTGAATTTCAAAGTGCCAGTTTAATCATTTATGGTGCACATTCTTACCGTAGATCGTCAACTAGCAATGAGACTACCTTTAAGTGGCGCGCTGAATACAGGGTTAATTTCCGAATCGGGGAAAAATGATGCTTTTATTGGTTGGTAGGGTTTCGAGCAGGGGATGATGGCGATAAATGGGGGCTGGGATTTCTTTGATAGGGTGTCATTTTATTAGAATGGCTCGAATGGTTGCTGGGACTCTGCAGAAAGGAGGCACAGTCGAAGACATACTAAGAAATTTATTGAAAAAACGTTTGTCTAATGAATATATTTGGATATCTATAAAGAGTATGTTTTGATGCCAAGGATTAAATCGAAAGTACCGATCAGGATGAGTGGGCCTTACCGAACCAGGGCTGTTATCTGATCTTCTCCGGGTTTCATCCGGATTATCCAAATAATATCAATACCGGTAGCCTTGTCAACCCCGCATCTTCTGCAAGCTTCTGTCTCACGCATCTTACTATCAAATACCTTCAATACCATATTGTAGACTTCACGAAATGGCATCCGAGATCGACGACATCTCATATACGATCTCTCATATGAGCTCACCGATATGAAGGTCATCGCCCCTGACTGGATATTCCTCTTTGCATCTCTTTTCTCGTCAGCCGTTGGCTTCAGTGAAAGTGCGATCCCTCATGTGCAAACGACAAGTGGAATAGTCATTGGGCATCCTGCAAGAAACGAAAGTGGTGTTGTTGAATTCCTAGGTATTCGATATGCTCAGGCAACCAATGGCTCGTTGAGATTCCAGCCTCCGGTTCCATCCATTTCCTCTGATACATACAAAGCTTCACACTATTCACCGTAGGTTTCGCTCTCTTTGGGATTTATGTTCGGTCAGGAAGATCAAATTAGCAAGCGGATCCTTTAGAGCATATATGATGGATTATCCTCCACCGCGCTCGATACTTTGATGTCCTTGTGTCCCCACCTAACATCCTTCCCAAGAGCTTGCCCCTTTAACCCCGCTCCACCCCGCTCCGCCTCTCCCCACCTTCCCCAACAAATCTTCCACATTCGGCCGCATATATGCCACAGCTACTGGCGGAACAGGTCTTGGATTCAGTGAAGACTGTCTGGCTCTCAATATATGGACTTCATCCATAACACCAGAAGAGCTCAAACCGGTCTTGTTCTTCATCCACGGCGGAAGATTCGTATCCGGCAGTACCAACAACACATTGTATGAAGGACAGTATCTTGCTGCCACTGGCGATGTCGTTGTTGTGACCATTGAGTATATAATCTTTCCCTCCAACTTACTCGAATGACGAACTAAAGTATACTAGCTACCGACTTCTCGTCTTTGGATTCCCAGGCTCACCATTATTACCCAGCGCTAATCTAGCAATCCTAGATCAACGACTGGCCCTCGAGTGGGTTAAAACAAATACTGCATCATTCGGAGGAGACCCTTCCAGGATCCTCATGTACGGACAATCAGTTGGTGGACTATCTATTCATTATCATGCATTTGCCTGGCCAGATGATCCAATTGCTTCTTCATTCATGTCCATATCCGGAACTACCAATGACGCACCCAATAGTCCGGAATTTTACAAGTCAAATTGGGATCAGCTTTCTATCGTAGTCGGATGCGAGAGTGGGGTTGAAGAAGACGTTGTGATCTGTATGCAGGAGATACCATACCAAACCATCTTGGCTGCCATCAAAAAGTTACCTCTTAAGCCGACAGAATTTTTACCACGAACACAATTCGTACCAACAATTGACCAGAAGATTGTGTTTTCAGACTATGCTACTAGAATCAACGCTGGAAGATTTGCTAAACTACCATACCTAGTGGGTAACGCGAACCACGAATCAGGCTTCTACGCCGTCTCCGTCTTTGCTCAAAATATCACTTTCAGCCGCTCTCACTGGGACCTCTTCAACCTCAAAACATTTACCTGCTCCGCTGCCCAGTCCGCCTTCTTACGGTCGAAGCACAATGTCACCGTTTATTTATATCGATATTTTGGAGATTTCGATAACACGCGACTTTATCCAACAAGTGGTGCGTATCATTTGAGTGATGTGAATATGTGGCATGGTGTGGGCAGGGATGTAAGTGGTATTCCGAATACGAGAGACGAGGAAAGGTTGAGTAAGGTGATGATGAGAAGTTTAATTACTTTCGCGAAGGATCCTGTGGGTGGACTTGAAAATTTGGGGTGGAGGAAGTATGAGGGTGTGGGAACTGGTAAGTATACCTGTTTTCTTTGCTTCAGATCGCACGTAGTCACAAAAGCTAGGGTTCGATTTGTCGTCCTGCATTTTAGTGCTGATCAATTCATACAGCAACAACTCTGAATGTTCTCGGGCAGCACAATAGTCACGATGTAGATCACGTGATCTCAAGAGAATATGATGCTCAAGCACAATTCGGATATTAATTGTTACACTAATCTCTATCGATTGTTTTGCTGAAGTTATATTATAAGGCCGTACATTATATTATCGCTGTGTAACCATTCGTTCCTTCAAGACCTTCATAATTTCTCATTCCAAGCAATTCGAACTACCAAATTTCCTGATCCTCTCTTCCCAGTCGTGTTTAAATTGTCCAATCGACCTTCCATCCAAAAATTTCTTCTTCTCCTCAGAACCGATCAGTTTGATGCCAGATCCTTGTTTAGACGTGAGTAGCACTATCATCATCAATTGATGATGAGCGATCATATTCTTCTCTTCTCCGGTTGCATTATCCCCGCATTTGTTCTGTTTTCCTGTCCAGCCCTTTATCCGGCCCCATTTCTTCCAAAGATGACAGAACAATCTCGCATCACGCACTCCTTCTTCCCAATTCTCCCACATTTGTCTTACCTCGGCTTTTCGAATCCTCCTTCTTTCGGCTGGTGTCGCATTCCAGTTGACACCTAAATCATCGCCACTGGGGAACAATTCTACTTTGGGCTCAGGCTTAGAATTACCTGCTTGAAAAAAGATGGGTCTTCCGTACAAGTCTACATATCCAGTTGGTACAGTGGATGGCGCGGGTGCAGACTGCGTTGGCGCTTTTGCAAGTCTCTCAAACCTTTTCAATGAGTTATAAGTAAAAATCTCTTGGTATAGTATCGGAACCCAATTTTTTGTGTAAAACCAGCTTGCAGAACCCATCACGTAATGTCTACATGAAAGGTTAGGTGCCAGCCTACTCACAGTAGTGGTGTAATGTACTCACATGTCTGGTAAATCTTCATCGCAGTGGTGAATCCCTATTTGGGGAAGATCAACCCAGATTTTCCCTGGAAGGAGGCAAATCCTTATTCCAGAGCCGGGCTTCGTACGTATGAAACATATGTTACTAGGAAATTGCAATGGTTTGTGAGCAAAAGAGCGATCTCTAGAGGTTGGACTGCCAAGATCGGATGAGCTAGCGTGATGAAAGGGACTAATGGGAGTTGGTGGAATCAATAAGTAGGGTCTGGTTCGCTGGAGGGATGCAACGGATGGAGTGATTGTATTTGATGAGTTATTGGTGACAAAAGGGTCTATAAGCATCTCCCCATCCGCAAGTGAAACAGACTGTATACGTGGAGAGTAATCTCTACCTTGTCCTGGTTCGGGAGGACTCTTTGATAAGATTATATTGTCTGGAGATTCAAGTGGTCCATGATCGCCATCAACATTTGAAATTGTTCGATGACCTTTGCTGGCGGGGACAAACACCGGTGCACAAGGTGAAAGAGGGTGGAATCGCATGGAGGGTGTTGAAAGAGGAGTATTCGAGTTTTTAGGCTCTGAGGGAGGAGACAAAGAAAAAGAACCTCCATCATTCATTGAAGGACTAGGACAGTAATCTGAATAGATCTCAAAATCGTCTGGTTCAATGAGAACACCTCCAGAGTCCAGAGGAGCAGAACAATCTACATCACCGAGCGCGAAGAAGTCCGGACTATGAAGAACAGTGTCCCAGTCTGTAGTGTCAATTGGACTTATTTTCTTAGAAGCGCATGGGTTTCCATTAATCCCATCACTTTTTTGGCTCTCTCTTTTGATTTTGTCTAGATTAAATGGGATAGGGCTCGAAGAAAGCAAATCCGTGGCCCGAGGTGACATGGCTGGAGGAGGAAGGTCGGTATACCAAGCGGAACCTTCTTGTAGGAGATACTGCCCTAAAATAACCTTTTTGTGAATTAGGATAAGAAGCATAGCTCTCAAGAATAAAGTTACATACAAGATAGAGCATAAAAAATTCTTCATTTCCCTGAGGTTGCGCATGTTCTGAAGGTGCACTTATACTCTCCACAGTTCTGAGCTTGATCTCACGGGCTATTGAAATCATCTGCTTGCGCAGCTCGGATAGTAGTATCGTGCTTCGTGGGACATAGACACCTTTAAAGTGTGGATGATTAAAACCCAGTCCATTATCGAACTCTCCCTGCGCCTGTCGATGATTTGTGCCATTTACTGCAGTGGGGAAAAATATGTTCAAACTTCCATTGGCCCATTGATGTAGTTGGTATGGTGTCGGAGCATTGGCTATGGTGGCTTGAGGCGAAAATTGACTAGGGTTTACGTCAAGTCGCTGGAACCGAACATTGAACTTTGATTGAGCTTCGAGAGTTCCAGGCCATTGCTGAAAACTCTGTCCGTTTCCTACGATAGGAGCAGGTGGATTTGTGCTGAAGTTGTGGCTCTCTGACTTTGGATAGTACGAATTTGAGGTGTTAAAAGCCATCGGTTTATCTCCACTCCAGCCATTTTCTATCATAGGATGAACTTGATTCGACAGATATTCTGATCTAATATTGACTCTTCTAGGCTGCGAAAAGTTCGATCCAGCATTCGGATTGTGCTGTAGGCTCTGGAAATTGGGGTTTGCATGGAAGTTTGGATGTCGGTTTTCATTGGCTAGACCCTGTCTAAAGTATCTTTGAAACGGAGGATGCATTTCGTGCTGTTGTAACCCATTTCCGAGTGTGCTGAATTGATTCCCCTGGTGAGGAAAATCAACATGGTGTCTGTTTTGTTCCTCTTGCCGATACAGATGCATGGTGATGTGATTTGCGAATATATATATTTTGTATAATATACTAATAACCGAATATCGAGATACTTAAGTTTGTGGGATAAGATTGATGATATGATATGATGTGATGTTGACGAAAAAATGTGAGAAACATATTTCTCTTTGAAAATGAGAGTAAGTTGAGCGTTCAATACGGAGAAAGTACGACTTGAAGGGAGCTCTAGGGGAAGCAGAGAATGGCGACGGTCAGGAGAACCGATAGATGTAGACATTATTTTGGGAAGTCACGAATGTGGTTTGCAATCTTCACTCACTCGTATCCGCATACCTCTCTTCTTCCTCACTTTTTAGCTCTGCCGCCCGCCAATATCGTATCGAACTCATTGCATGTCTAGCCCTAGTTTCCTGTATTATTTCTCCTGTTTCGCTACAACCTTCACACTCGGTCTTCGTGGTCTCGGTCGCCATATAAAATTTGAAGGACCACTTGTACTAGCCGTAACCCCTGGCGGGGTAGATTGGAGATGATTGAAAGATGCCGACTACTCGATATTCGTTACATATATCCAAGCATTGGGACTGGTACTGGGTAACAAAAATATCACGTCAATTCAGAACTTTCGCATAATATTCTTTGATTATACATTATGATTAATTATCTCCAATTGAATCTGCTCAACACACTGATGAATTCCTAGTGAATCTCTACTCTCCATTCAACCTCAGCTTCTCAACTCCCTGTTCTATAGTTCCCGCCCTCGTCGACGCACCCAATGATACAACTCCACTATCCGGAATCCATTCCAATTCATCCTTCAATAATTCTTATCAGTCGAATCAATGTCCAAGCCATAAAATTTTCCACCACGTCCACGGATCTTAACAATTACATGAAACATGCAAAGCTTCCGCCCAAACACAACAATTAGAGCTTATGTCAACTGTCACAATGTATTCCACAATCCACTTTGATATCTCCAAAACAATCTCAAAGAATCCGATCGAGTACCATCTATGCTGTGGAATCCTTATCATCATCATCCTCATTATCCTCCTCATCATCATCCTCATTATCCTCCTCATCATCCTCCTCATCATCCTCCTCATCACCATCAAAATTATCGTCCATAAAAGCAGCAAAGTTTTCAATCGAAAATCTACCCATAAAAGCTTGGTATTCGTGTTCCTCTTCCGCCTTCCTCAATTCCATTTTTGCTTTTTTCCGGTCGTCCTCTATCTCCACCTGCTCTAACTTAGAGGAAGGAATGACAACTGACTCCTGACCCGTCGCCTCATCACATCTGATATCATAGTACTCTGACTTCTTAACAGTCACAACACCCTCGTAGATCATACCATCTTCCTGCTCGATGAAGAATTTGTTCCCTCCTTGCAGATCAGGGAAGCTGGGACCAAATTTCACGAGCTTCACGTTCTTCCTACGGCAATATCGATCGTACAATGCAGCGGAAAGGACAAAAATGGATGTCATGATGAGCAACCCACTTGCGAGTCCATACATGAATATCGTGGTTGGAGAGGGTCCCAGTGTTTGTCCGTGTCCATCTTTGACTGAGTTGACCGCCTCAAAAACAGGTTCATTAATAGGACCCAATCGTGTTTGGTGAAGATTGAGTAGGGCAGGCATTGTTATCTCGCTATAGATTTGGATCTTTTGGTTGATTAGGATAGAATGATGTAATCTTGGAAGTCGAGAAGTTTAGGTTTAGGTGCAGACACGGCGCAATTTATACACAATTTATAAATGTTTTCTAGTCACAACGATCTATGATTCATGATATATGACATAACTACTAGTTCAAAGCCAAGTTATTGGTCCACATAGATCTTCGACAAAAACCTGGGTTAAATTTTGTTGAGACTAACATCTAGCACTAGAGCCTTCAGACAAGTGGATGGTATGTGTGAAGAGCTCTTGTCATTGAAGCAAAATATGCCAGATTAAGAAGATCAAGAATAATATTACACTAATGATACCTCCAAAACTCTTAAAATTGAAAATTCTGAAAATGGTTCTCAGTAGACGCTACACACTTGACTTATTCGGGTAGAAGGTGCTGAGATCTGCAAAGCCAAATTCCCCGAACATTATCCAATCATGCGAGACTAGATTCTGAGTCAATTTGGTATCATATTACTCATTCACCGTTCGGAGTTATTATCCAAAAGGAAACCATATTACTCAATTACATTGCCATCCAGATTCTTGAATCTGTAATTTCAGTAAAAGGAAGATGAAGGGACTACTAGAAGCGATAGAAGTAAGTACTCGTATGAAATAATGCAATAAATATTCATAGATCATTTTTGAGATTTTTTGGACTCTTATCCAAAGAGTAGTCAGTAGAACATAAAATGTTAACCCTAACAATATATATTCCCATCGTTCATGACAGAGCACAATGTAGATTTGACATCCCGAGGTTAGGCACTGTGAAATGGTTCAAGACTCTCTATTACATTTTATATGTTAAAACCAAATGACAGTCTTCCAGTGACTCCAAACTTTTTCCTCCCATGAGCTTTCTGTCAAATGTCTTCCTCTCGATTCAATGCTGAGTCTGAACCACAGAACCTCCCTCTAACCTCTTGATCACTCCCTCAAGGTCGAGATCTGTATACTTCATTATCCCACGAGGAGACCTCCATCATTTCATCAGATGCTGCTATGCTTCTTCGAAAATTATCAATCTCATCTCTCGACATCCATGTCATTGTTCCGTAGCTTGACGATTCATCTCTGCTGGAAAAGTTTTCTTCCTCCATTGAATATTGCGACCAATTGTTGACATTCAAACGTGGGTTTCTCGCTCTCTCGTCATCTGAAATGAGATATGTGTTCGTCTGTTGCGACGTTGATCTGCTCTCGCTTACTTCCAATAAACCACATCTCCAATCATGTATTGTATCATAAATGGAGACACTGAGTATTGCGATCCACCCGGCGATAATGAAAATCATACATATAATTCCAAATGGGGCGAAGAAGCCATATATGATCATTTCCATAACTGTGACATCAAAATCTGCAATTTCAGCGGTATCTGTGACAGCTCCTGTAATTTCGGTGATATTTGGTAATGGCGACATTTTGAAAGTCGAACTTTTTAATGATTAGACCTTTTCATCATTTAACCCGGGGGAATACTTACGATGTTGGATGATTGAGGATTATTTAATCACCTTGAAGATGCAGTTTTTCGAACTTACGATTTGAAGGTGGTCGGAAAAGTCATTATTTAAAGAGAAAGAATTTTCACCGGTGCTAATTTTTAGTATGTGGCAGTTATGGTCATCCATACATTCTCTGCTCATGTGTGTGTTTGAAAAAAAAAATGGACGTGTGATCATCAAGAAGTCAAATTTGGCTTCCTAGCAGGGAATCAGTATAATTTTAGCAGTGACTTCGAATTAACACATTTCAAAGGCTGTCAATTGCCAAGTTCTTGTACAGGCTTCGAATATAGAGACAAGGTAGCGTCTATCATTGTTACTCGCCGAAATGGAAGTTGCCAAAGCTATATTTCTCATTGTGCAAGTCAATCATGAGGGGCTGGAGATTTTTGTGACTTCAGGCTAATTATCTAGAAATGAGCAGCTCATCATCAGCCGTCGAAAAAGATGTGACCTTTCAAAAATTCTCATCATATATGGTCTACCGCTCTGAGCTGTGATCAATTCTAGTGGTAGACGTGAGACAGATGAAAATGATAGATTAAAAGAACTGTCCTTTACTAGAAGTTTGCTTAAAAGACAGTAGTAGTATTAGGTACAGTATGACACCTGGCACCAAGACTTTCAACATAGTATTTCTAAGTTTGGGAGATAATCTCTAGTCTTACTCACTACTCAATAAAAGCGTTAATTATAGATTCCTAATTATACCCATCCATCACATGAGGAGACTTAGCCTTGCTCATGCTCATGGTTACTGTACATCAAAATTCAGGCCATCTTCACTTCTTGTATAATCTCAAGGTATCCATCTCATCTTCAAATAATTTATTCTCAACAACCATGTGCCAACTACGGAATTTGGGTTTTAGTGAAAATTTCTGTAGAGAAATATTCATAACAATAAACCATTTAAGTTACATTTTACCTTTTGTGCTTTTCTGGATGATTTATGAATTCATCCAGCACGTCTACTACCAATCAAAGGGTTGGAAGGGTTGTCATCAATATCGAACGTTTTTGATAAGCTTCTTTTCAATGGGCATTGTTTTTTATAAAAGCCTTTCAATTCTTTGGGGAGATTCTATAAGATACCGTGATGTAATCTTTGGGTCTATGGTATTCACTCTAGCCGTACTCGAATATCTTATTCATTTCAAAATGTTAGGAGAGCACTTTGAAGAAATGTTATATGGTTCGGTTGAGTTTTCTGGATGGCTCCCTAGATGTGTGCCTGGCTATGAGTATGCCAGCGTTTAGTTACGTCTAGCTCACGAGCTCGAAGAAGAGTATAAATAAAGGGAGTTTGAAAAAAGACTCGCGAGGGTTCGTACCAAATTGGATGGTAAAATGGATTGTGACTTTATCGAAGCTTGGATAGACCAGGATCTCCAAGTCATAGATGATATATATTGGAGAAAAGTCCAGGCTGGATTGGATCCTGCAATTGCCGACGATATTGAAGATAAGTCATTGGAGTCATATTTTGATCTTTTAAGACTCCGAGATCTCCGTCTGACTGCACTCGAAAATCTGGAAAATTATGGAATGATCATGGAATGAGATACTGAACTTTCAAAAAGCAGTACTGCAATAGTGCTGAAAATGTTTTGAAAACTATGGTTATACTTTGAAACGTAGCTATAGATAGACTGAATCGATTAAGAATTTACTACTACTACTACTTTGAAACGGCGGCAGGAATTTATTGAAAGGTCAGAAACTTTCACATCTCTATCGAAATATATCACTGACATCCATCAGACTATTTGGTGAATATAGAGCAATTAATTGATTCTACGATTTCGAAAATTGAGTGTTCTTTTACCGTATATCCTCAAGCATAAGATTTTGCTTTCGATTAGATGCGTTCAATGGGTCAATTGCTAGGCCTAGAATTTTCAAAGTATGTCGAGACTCTTCACTTCAATTCAAACGAATCTATTTGATACCATGAATGACTGCTAATACCTCGAATAGGCAGAGTGTTGGATTGATTTCTGAGATATTTACCTTGGCCCTCAGAAAATAAGCGCGCGATTTTGATTTCCACGAAACATCTCTACAAATGAATTAAATATATTCTCGACGTATTTATGCGTTTTTTTAAATTCAGAAACATCGGTGATCAGAATCCGGGATGGGGTTGCGCTTTGAGGTTTGAGGTTTGAGATTTGGATTTTCACTTTTCCCTTGAAGCCTCTGGGCAGGAAATTTCAGAGAGGAGACAAATTTAGCAGTAGTTATTATGGTACATGGAGATAAGTTAGAATTTATATCGGTAGAAGCCTCATCCAAACAAAAATCCGGTTTTTATCATAAGACATGGGTGAGTAAACCGGAACGTCGTAAGGAAAGCACTGTATGTCAGATATGTTAGAAGTGTAGGTGGAGCATAAAAGTGACCTACAATCATCAAAACTCAGAATTCAACCACTTGCAAAACCTGATTTTTTTTTCCAGCTATAAGCCGGGAACGAAATTCCAATCAAATTTTGGAAAGACCACATATACAAAACCCAGTTCCCAATAGTTGTGTCTAGCCCGACGTTCTATAAGCAAATCACGTGATATAGTCCAACCTAGCATGGCTTCAACAGCACTCGCTCCAAGACTAAAGGGGGGTTAAGCGAGAGTAGCTCAACTTATACCCCACAATTCTTCCCCATTTTACCGATCAAATAAATTAAACTATGTACTAAGCCTGACAAGCTTCTAGATGTCATCATTACAACCACTGATATTCTGATATGGGCTTCAATTACAGTTACTAACAGTAGATAAGTAATGTTAATCGTCATTAGTATTGTACTTAACAGACACTGGCGCATGTCTAGAGAGAAAAGTAGGAAATTAGTTCATTATGATGCTCATATTGAACCTTTAAAAGAAAAAAATAATTGAAAATGTATTCCTGCCCTTGAAAATATTTTCCTACACATCGCACGAAAAAGCATCGCACCGAGAATATCATCAGAGTATCCTGAATACGTAGAAACATCATATTCATCTCATTGCACACCATTTACTTCTTATCATATCCCTATATATCATATCTTATAAACAGATAGACATCACCTATCCCGATATCACCACAACGTCATCACCGAACACCATCTAAATACCACCTCAACATCGTTAAAATGATCACAAAGATGATTACCGACGGCAGATTCGGAGATAGTACCCTCCCGCCAGGAGCTACCTTCTCGGATACTATCTTCGTCTCTCCACCACTTTCCCTTTCCTATCCGACTCAATCAACTCACCCAACTCAATCATCCTACCCTTCTGCGTCCACCCTACCCCCTCAATTCCAAAGAATCCACGCCAGATCTTTCTTCCCAAACCAAACTCTGAGCACAGTCTCTGCAACCAACCAGGTGTTAGACATAGCAACAAGGACCGCACTCTTTACCTTATTCTTCATCATGTCTTGCTTCGCGCTCTTCTCCCTCATTTACTTTGTCTACTACATTCGTGAACTTTACACAGCCGAGCTTCAACAGCAGTGTAATTACGAATCAGATGGGGAACTCGAACGATTGATAATACGAAGAACCTCTTTTGGTTATCATACTTTTGATGAGATTTCTCCGTATGAGGCTGAGGAGAATGGACGTCCAGTTTCTTCGACCGGGAGGACCGAGAATAGGGAGCATATCAATGCTACAAGGGCTAACAGAGGTATCAATGCTACCAAAGCTACTCAAGCTACCAAAGCCAAAGCTACCAAAATCACCGAACCCTCCAAACCCACCAAAACGACCAAAACGATCAATGTCCACCACACTGAACCTGAATCGGAAACCGCCCACTCCACCCACCCAACCCCACCTAACCGTCGTAAAGTAGTATTCGGCAACCTCCCACGACCCATCCGCCGCCCACCCACTTCCAAGAAACCAGCAGTGATCCAATTCGCCGCATCTGCCTCTCGACCCTCCCGTCTCAATAAATCTAATCCCCCAAGACGATTACGCAGTCCTCCTCTTCCCCCGGATTTCCTCACAATGTCCAATGCGACCACTGCACCAATGACAATCCCGGGCCAAGAACCCTCTTCGTGGACTGCAGGTCTACCGTGGGCGACGGCGGCAGATGATCCGAATACTCGGGATGAGGGGAAGAGGGATAGGGAGATGAGTCCGGATGATGAGGATTGGGGTGATGTTGATAGGATTATTAGTAATGAGCGAGATCAGTATGCTGGGGATAAAAAGATTCTGGATGAGGCGAGTAGAAGGGATAGGCAGATGAAGAGAGTGAATGGAGGTTCTCAATCAAGAGATGAATGCGATAATTTTTCTAGTAGTTCGGAAGGCTTTTGGGGTTACTAGGAGGTTGAAAAGGAGGGGGGAGTCACTGGATGAAGGACTTAATGGAAAGAGAATGGGCATATAGAAAAGAGGGTCAAAAGTTTACAGTTATAAATATCTTGTATGAAAAAAAGAGTATGGCAATACGGATGAAAGGATCCAAGGTCAGCGTTCAGAAAAGCTTGGAAAATATGATGGTATGAAGGATATCTAGATACATCAACAGATTGTTATATATAGATTGTAAGATAATCAATTTCCTATCATTGAAACTCTACCAATTCTCTCATTGTGGCATGTTTAATGTACAATGAACGTCCATGGAACTTTCCCTCGTGAAACCATCAACGAATGATGAGGATTTTTGATCTTACTCAGTTCCACATACACTCATTGAACTCATCACTTCTCGCCACCATTTTCATCCTCACGATTCTTTCCTGATTTTCATACCCCCCCACTTGCATTAGTGTCCATGGGATATGCCACTTTATTTCCTTCGGTATATCGAATAAAAATACAGACTATCGTATGCATCCGAAAGTTAGACCCTCATAACTTGCAGAGGCACTTTGCACCCCCTCATCATGCAATTTTCTTCATCGCAAAAGATGTTGTTAAAAATCTCCCATCTTCGGAGAGAAAAAAGAGAATGAAAAATAGAAATCTGAAATGAAATACCAAGTAATTTTAAACACACATAGACAATAAACGATAAATATGAGAGGAAAAGTATATTATTACTCAACCACCATTCCTCATTCTGAAAAGTCCATACAAAGCCCCGATTCCGCGGATAAATACCAGATAGTCAATTACTCCATATATACCACATTCATCATTCATAAGCTATATACACATTAAAAGTCCAAAACGTCTGGAGATGTATGATAAAACATCCCGATAAATTCCCCATTGGTATTATCGACAAATAAAAAGTGTGTGAACATGAACACTACTCATTCATTATTCCTTCTTTGCTTTTCTGAAGAATTTTGCGAAACTTTTCTTCGGTCTTAATTGAGACTTAGGGGAAGCATCTTCATATGTACTGCCAATCTCGACCATACCTGGAATTGCCGATGGAGCCCATGGTAATGGTTTGGATCTAAGAGTTGCATCCGACAAAGAGATTTTTGTCATTCGACTATTAAAACGTGTTGTTTTTGGAGTGCTCGGGTCCTTTTTCAATGTATCACGACGACGACTTTGATCTTTTGATGCAGAAACCTTTTTACCCTCTGGAATTGGAGGAGGTCGCCGCGAAGGAATAAAACCACTGGGACCAAATCTGTTTGGCGTAAGTTCACCTTGATGTGAAACCAGTGATTCTGATGGAAACGATGATTTTCGTCGAGGTAATGGTGTGGGTGTATCATTAATAGGAGGTGGTGAATACTCAGCCTCCACATGATCCATCATAGTGTTGAAAGCGGATAGAGGTGTTGTTGTGATGTATGCAGTCTTGCGCTTGCGTAAGTCTTGTGAGGTTCTCTGAGCTGGTGCAGTCTTTGGTCTATGTTGTTCCAAACAATAGTTGACTTTTCTTCGGAGATCGAGATTTTGCTCCTCCAATAACTTTGCCACACTTTCGGCGGCAATAGCCCGCTCGAGAAGACGCCTATTCTCTGCCTCAAAGTCATTGATAGCGTCAATGGCAGTAGCTGCATGTAACTGAGAATATGAATGAGTATTGATGATATGAAAAAGCATTTCAATGAAGAACTTACGGAACGTGTAGGACTGAGTGGAGACTTCGGATCCATATTGACTTTTTGAAGTTTGACAGCACTAGGAGAAGTGTCTTCAAGTTCAGCAATAAATGACGATGTGGCTGAATTTGGGGAAGCATTTGTAGCTGCAGAAGATAATTCGAAAACGGAATCGACTGCAGATATAGGTGTCATTCTATCAGGAGAGAATTGTTTTGAATGTTGTCGACCTGGTGTAAAGTTCCAAGCACCTTGTGGGGTAACGAGCAAACTCAAGGTAGGAGTTGGGCCATTTGCATTTCGACGACGAGGAGAAGTAGACAGTCGAAGGTCATCTTGAGAAACTACATTCTTGATCATTACTCGTTTTGAGTTAGACGTTTGTTGGGGCCTTTCCCTTGGCTGCATTTGAGAGACAACATGAGGCATAATTCCACGTCTTTTTTAGAGGTATTCACAAGTAACTAAAAAAAGTGTTGACCCAAGCAAGAGGTAAACCTCAGTGCCAAAGGTTGAGAAAAACTTGATACGGGAAACTCTTGTACAAGTAATTCATCCGAGAAACCCGAAGAAAGATCCGGTCGGGTAAGTGCCAAATGAATTCCCATGCGACGTAAAATTTAAACGACAGTTGATTTTCACGTTGAAAACTGGCCTCAAAAAGATTGAATTGTAATCAAAGCAGGCTTAGATCCAAGGGCTGAGGCTAGGCCATGGCCAAATAGATATATAAATATTGTAGGATTGGACCCCATCTCACATTATTATTATTTTGAGTCGAGCTGGACGCCTCGATCAATCATTTGAAGTGTGCGAGTATGCGGCAACGCTGCTGCGGCCTCGTGCCTCAATGGTAAGAGTCATCATGAACCACTCGATTTAACACCGTAACCTGAAACAGATGAAAAAGCGTCGATTCAAATTATGCAGACGAATCATAAAAGACATAAAAACTTTCGTAACCGCCATGGGGGCGGTCGCTTATCTGGTCACCACTACATCCAACCAAACGCGATAACCAACGCTTACGGCGCAGTAGAAAGGCTCGGAAGTAAAGCAAGAACAAGTAATATTAGAGAAGAGAAAAAGACGCGATTGGAAGCAGACGATAACAATGAAAGAGATCAAACAAGAGAATTGGAATACGGAGAAAGGACACCTTGTAATCGATTTTCGAGGAGAGTTTCAGGTCCTGCAATGCACTCTGAGCTACATCCTAAGTGTATTCTTTGTAAAGGTATGGTAGAACCAAGTATTCAATGACAGTTCTCAAATCAATGGTGAACGTATCTCGAGTATCGAAAATAGAACAGGATGGATCAGGAAGTCTTGGAGTTGGATGATGGCGTCCACATGATCCTATTCGTTGCATATGTATATGTATAACTGTTAGATTTGCATGAACCGGATTTCTTTGGATTATATATCATCGTTGTTGGTGAAGGAAGAGAAGCAAACAAACATTGTATAACGAAAGAGAACACAAACAATCACATCGTATCGTATCGTGCCGTACTATATCATATCATGAAGTGAGTGACATGAGCTTGGAGTAACATGAGCTGACGGTATCTGGGACAGCTTGACATTGAGAGGGAAAAGGTGTGAAATTTGGGTGAATCCCTACAGAGGTGGTCGAGGTGGTGTTCAGGAGAATGTCCATTTTGAAAATCCGAAGGATTCATGGTCGAAGATACTTGCTGTTCGAATTAAGCATGAAGCAGAAAGGTTGAAGTTCAGATGTGGGCGCTCATACCATACCGACTAAAGATACGGTAGACGATAGGTACAAATAATGGTGGTAAGCTTGATTTACATCCACAATCATAGGTACTTATCGGTAACATGGTTTATCATCGAATAGCCTATATCATCGAGTGGCTCACTTTCACCTCAATTTATATCTATCTCTTTTAATACACATTTTATCAATAATCTATAATGAATTCGAATAATTAAGAAGCTTGTATACTCATTATTGAAACTATTTATAAAGATAAAAAATTAAGTATTTAAAAGATTATTATACTCTATAATATTCCTTATATAATTTTTTAATATAAAATAAAAGGTTTATCTCTTTATATAAAAACTCAAGCAAATCATTATAAAATTATAAAATTAAAAGAAAAGATGATTATTTAATATATACTTGATATAGATTTAAAAGGATTTCTATTTAAATTAAAGAATATAAAAGATATAATAAATGATATTCTCAAATCGAGAAATACAAAATACATTAGAAAGCTTTAGGCATATTGATTTGTAAAGTATTGAATTAAATTAAAGATATGTTTTAGTTATATTTATAATTTTCAAAAAGCTTTTTATAAGGATTCTAAACTTTTTAAAGAATGATTTCAATTAATTGTAAATATGCGAGTGAAATATAATATTTTGGATAGAGATTTCTATAATTTTAATGAAACAGGCTTTATAATAGGGATTATATATATAACAATAATAATAACTAATACTAAACGAAATAACAAAAGTAAGATAGTACAACTAGGTAATTAAGAATAAGCTATAGCAATAATATATAGAAATAAAGAGAATAAAACTATTCCCTCATTTCTAATAGTTCAAGAATAAGTTTATCTCTTTAATTGATATATTGAAACGAATCTTCCTATAGAATAGATTATTAAATCTATATCTAATAGGTAGACGAATAATAAGACAGATTTAGAATGATTGAAACACTTTAATAAGTATATTAAGAATTAAAGAAAGAGCAAATATTGAATATTAATACTAAATAAGTATAAAAACTACAAATTAATAGGTTTTCAAATATACTATAAAGAGAATAATATTATATATTTACATTTACTACTATATTTAAATCATTTAATTTAATCATTTAATATTAGTTATTTTAGCAATCTAAAATGTTCATATAGTAATCAAATTGATAGATTTATTAAGACATATATTAATTATATTTCAAAGATTGAATTCTTTATAGCTTTTAGAATTGTATATAAGAAATCAATTACATTTCAGAATATAAAATCAGGATTCCGAAGAACAGGTTTAATTCTATTTAATTTTAAAACTATACTCTCGAAATTAGATATTTAAATTCATATATCTACCCCCCCCCCCTTTTTCGATCTAGATTAATGAATCTCTTAAACTCTTTATAACCTAATAAAAGCTCTTTCTCAATCAATATTAATTAAATCTTGAATAACTTGTTATTAATTAAGCTTTTCTATACCTATATTTAAAACTATATTAATTCTAATTAAAAGTATAGAGAGATTAGTTTATAAGAATACACTTTTAAATACAAAAAATCGTACATTTGGAATAACAAATAAGGTATTAAGTAAATATCAATATACAAAAAAAACTTAATTATATTAAGGAAAAGTGTTTATTAAATAAAAGACTCTTGATATATTATCTTAATAAAAAATTGATATTTAAATTCAACATAATAAGCATTAAAAAAAGGGGAATTCTAATAAAAAAGTATTTTCTAATCAATATTATAATAAATATAGAAAGATAGAATATAATACAAGAATCTACCAAAATAATATAATAGATTCTAAATTATTAGATTCTTAATAGTTTTAATTAATTGATTCAATTATTGTTGAATAATATAGATTTGAAAGTGTAAATTGAAATAAAAGTGGGCTACTCGATGATATGGGCCACTCGATGATAAACCACGTTATCTTCATTATCTATCATTTGATTTTGTTTCTCGTTTTTATTTTTCTTCAACAATTCAGTCACTCCATTAATCAAATAATATGGACTCGCCTGAAAGCTCGAATCGTCAGAAGGATTATTCTTCACGGCGATATTCTAGGTCCCCCTCAACAGATTCCGAAGAAGAAAGAAGGCGGAGGAGGCGCAGGAGAGAGAGAGAGGCTGACCGGGGATCTACTCGTTCCGACAGGCATGATGATCGTTCTAGAGGCACGAGAGATAAATATGAAGAGAAAGTGAGATCTCACAGAAGGTCGCGTAGTCCAGTTGATTCAAATTCCTCCCGACAAAGAGACAATCGAAATTCACATCGCAGAAGATCGCGCAGTCCTCGACGAAAGGATGATCGAGATTCACATCGCAGAAGAAGAGATAGATCTCGAGACCGAAGACGAATTAAGGATGAAAAGGACAACGACAATATCGGGTCGCTGGAACCACCCACGAAGTCGGTAGTATCTCGAAAACAAAACGGTCCGCTACCATCCCAAGCTGCATCGTTCCAATCGAAAAAAGATCCATCCTCAACGGCTCTTGTAACCACCGGAGACGAGCCAATACCAGAAAAAGAGAAGCCGAATTTGGGACACACGGGAGTTTTAGCAGCAGCTTCAAATACAATTACACAGGCGGATGGAAATTATATAGTTCTAAAGTATCACGAACCACCTGAAGCATGCAAGCCCCCATCTAAAGATGATTGGAGACTTTTTGTGTTTAAAGGCGCCGACATCATCGAAACCATTGATTTGAGTGCAAAGAGTTGCTGGCTTGTTGGTCGAGAACGTGCCGTGGTGGATTTAGTTGCGGAACATCCAAGTATCAGCAAACAACATGCCGTCATACAGTTCAAAGCCACGGAGAAGATGAACGAATTTGGAGATAAGATTCGTAAAGTCAAGCCATACTTGATCGATCTCGAATCTGCGAATGGTACGATGATGAACAAAAATCCGATCGATGCGAGTCGATATGTTGAGTTGATGGATAAGGACATGATACAGTTTGGTCACAGTACAAGAGAGTACGTCCTAATGTTGGCACCGAGAACTTAATCCAAAGGAATTTGTTGAAAAAGGTGGTTGTCATCATACTTTCGGAAGCTCCTTTAATACTTATCATGCTATACGATTTGTACCATATCAGAGAAGCAGAAGTCAGCTGCAACTCATCACAAGATTTCCAAACCGTGCGGAAGTATGAAGATCTTTGAAGGGAAAAGAACATGCATGTGTTAAAAAGTTGACTCTTCACAATACTCACTAAATGTCAAATGTCTCACTTGACTTTGCCGCCAGTACAACCTATCAAGGTCAACGCGGTAATTTCGCCGAGAAAACGAATAGAGTTTAAAAGCTTGTATGGTTTAGGGCAACTAGGGCATATAGATGGAGAGGAAAGTGCCGGTGCTAAAATACTTATGGACAAATCACACTTATTGAAACTTTGAGCCTCATAAATGTCACTTGTCACTTGTGAACGCATAATGTGAATACTGTAGGGCAGATTTGGATGACGAAGCCCCAGAGTACTATATGCCTTGATTAGGTCACATTCCTCTAGGTAGAACTTTGACCGCCATTTCACGCGATTTGCCTCCTTTACGTATTGGCCCCAGGTATATATCTCCCAAGATCTTCACAGCATGCGCCTCGATGAATATGTTTGGGGTATCTGGTGGTAGGAGGATTTGG